GATTTAGCTAGCATCTCTCAGCAGAAACAATGAAAGCAAGAAGGAAATGGGGAGACATATAGAAAACCCTGAAACAAAAAAACTGCCAACCAAGAAACCTTTATCCAGTAAAGCTATCAATCAAACACTATGGTGTAATCAAAACATTCAAGGATACAGAAGCTAAGAGATTTTTCCAAAGCTAACCCTCACTACAAAACATCCTAAAGGGCGTTCTGTGGAATGAGAACCAACAAGAACAGACAACAACTGGAGATTGGCATATGTGCCAGCACCTCCCAGAACTAAATAGACAGAAGAAAGAGTCTAGAACAGAACAAAACTATAAGAACAAACTCAGAGAATCTGGGAGGTCAGTCTACTATCAATTACAATATGAAACAAGGTAAACACATAGGAACAGAGATCCAGATACTGAGAAGGTCAGGTAGATTACAGGATAAAACAGACTGCACTAAATGGAGGAGGAAGTCAATGGACTATAAGGTAACCTCAAAGAAAATTAACACTTTACAACATACCAAGAAAACAAAAATACAAGAAGAACATGGAAATATTAGAACTATGAGTAAACTCACAAGAAAGAACACAAAAAGCATGAACTCAACAAAGGAAGACACACAGAACTAAGAAAGCAGCAACACCACACACACACACGCACACAAAAACAAAAAAAACATAATGGCAGCAATTAATCCATACCTATCTATAAGGAGCTCTGGTAACGTAGTGGTTACGAATCGGGCTGTGAGCCGCAAGATCAGCAGTTCGAAACTACCAACTGTTCCTTGAGAGAAAGATGAGGTATTCTGCTCCCGTAAAGATTTACAGCTTCGGAAACCCTGTACAGGGTCGCTATGAGTCGGAACCGACTCCACAGCACACAACAAGAACAACATCAACAGTTACACTGAATGTAAATGGATTAAATGCACCAGTTAAGAGACAGAGGGTGGCAAAATGGATGAGAAAACAAGATTCTTCAATATGCTGTTTGCAAGAGACACATCTCATACACAGAGTCAAAAAGAGGTTAAAAATCAAAGGATAGAAAAAAATATACCAAGCTAATTGCAATAAAAAACGAACAGGAGTGGCATTGCTAATCTCTGATATAATAAATTTTAAGGCAAAACCCAGCATAATAGATAAAGATGGAAATTATCTCATGATTAAAGGGACAATTGAACAAGATGACATAGCCAAAATAAGTATCTAAGCTCCCAATGAAAGCACTCCAAAATATATAAAGCAAACTCTAATAGATTCGAAGAAAGAAATAGATGAAACTACAATAATAATGGGTGATTTTAATACACTGCTTTCAAAAATGGATAGGACAACCAGAAAGAAACTTGACAAAGACACAGAAGAACTAAACAACACAATCAGCTAACTGGGTCTCATAAATATGTACAGAGCACTAAACCCAACAACAGCACAGTACACATTCTTTTCCATTGCTCATGGAAAATTCTCCAGAATAGATCATGTTTAAGTTTATAAAACAAATCTCCATAAATTTACAAATATCAAAATACTACAAAGCATCTTCTCAGACCACAGTGCTTTAAATTAGAAATCACAATAGGAATATCAAGGAAATAATGTCAAATACATGTAAATGGAATAAAACCCAGCTGAAAAGTGACAGGGTAGTAAAGAAATTAAATGTGAATTCACAAAGTTCCTGGAAACAAATGAAAATGAAAACACAACATACCAAAATCTTTGGGACATGGTAAAAGCAGTGTTGAGAGGACAATTTATTGCAACAAATGCACACATCCAAAAAGAAGATAGAACCAAAATTAGCAAGCACATTAACACAGCATCTACAACAATTAGAAACAGAGCAACAGAGGGAACCTACAGTCAGCAAAACAAAAGAAATAATAAAGATTAGAGCAAAAATAAATGAGATAGAAAACAGAAAAACTATAGAAAGAATCAACAGGACAAGAAGCTGGTTCTTTGACAGAATTAACAAAATTGACAGACCATTGGCAAACCTAACAAAAGAAAAAAGGTAGAAGACACAAATAACATGCATTAGAAACTACATGGGCGATGTTTCAATGGAACCAAAGGATAATAACAGAATACTACGAAAAGTTGTACTTCAACAAACTTGATGACTTAGAAGAGTTGGATACATTTTTAGGAAAACACGACCTACCTAAATTTATACAGAGTGAAGTAGAAAACCTGAACAGACCCATAACAAAAGAAGTCATTGATCAGGTCATCAAAAGACTCCAAATCATAAGAAGTCCAGGCCCAGATGGGTTCAATGGTGAGTTCTACAAAACATTCAGGGAAAAGCTGTCACCAATTCTACTCAAATTATTCCAGAATATAGAGGAGGACGGAAAACTTCCTAATACATTTAATGAAGCAAGTTTAACCCTTATACCAAAAACCAAGGAAAGATGTAACTAAGAAAGAAAATTACAGAGCAATATCCCTTATAAACATAGATGCAAAAATTCTCAATAAAATCCTAGCCAACAGAATCCAGCAGCACCTCAAAAAGATACTACATCATGATCAAGTGGGATTCATATCAGGGATGCAAGGATGGTTCAACATTAAAAAAAATGATCCACATAATCCACCATATAAATAAGAAAAAGGAAAAGAACCACATAATCATATCGATTGATGCAGAAAAGGCATTTGACAAAATCCAACATCTGTTCCTGATAAAAACCCTCAACAGTGTAGGAATTGAAGGAAAATCCCTCAACATAATTAAGAGCATATATACAAAACCAACAGCCTACATTACTATTACAGGAGAGAATTACAAAGCCTTATCTGTAAACATGAACCAGACAAGGATGCTCTTTGTCACCACTTCTATTCAATACTGTGCTGGAAGTCTTAGCAAGGCTTATATGGCAAGAAAAGGAAATTAAAGGCATCCAAATTGGCAAAGAGGAAGTAAAACTCTCTCTATTTGCAGATGGTATAATCCTATACATAGAAAAACTCAAAGATTCAGTAAAAAAGTTACTAGACCTCATTGGAAGATTTGGAAAAGTGGCAGGATATAAGATCAACATACAAAAATCAGTTGGATCCCTCTATACCAAAAATGACAGCATTGAAAAGCACGTTAGGAAAGCAATATCATTTACAATAGCTGGTCAAAGGATGAAATATATAGGAATAAATGTAAACAGAGAAAAAAAGGACTTATACAAAGAAAACTACAAAACACTACTGAAAGAAACCAAAAGAGACCTACAAAAATGGAAGAATGTACCATGCTCCTGGATAGGAAGACTTAACATTGTGACAATGTCTATACTGCCCAAAGCAATTTACACATACAATGCAATCCCAGTACAGATTCCAACAACATTCTTCAAATAGATGGAAAACACAATTACAAATTTTATATGGAAAGGAAAGAAACCCAGGATAAGCAAAGCACTGCTTAAGAGGAAGAATAAGGTTGGAAACCTCCTACTCCCAGACTTTAAAATTCATTACATATCTACAGTGGTCAAAACATCTTGGTACTGGTACAATGAAAGATACATTGATCAATGGAACAGAACAGAGAATCCAGAAATTAAGCCATCCACATACAGCCAACTGATTTTTGACAAAGAACCTAAATATATCACACGGGGGAGTGATAGTCTCTTCAACAGATGGTGCTGACAGAACTGGAAAGCTATATGCAAAAGATTGAAACAAGACCTTTACCTCATGCCTTATACAAAAACCAACTCATCATTGATTAAAGATCTAAATTTGAATCCCAGAATTATGAAGGCCATCACTGAAGGGGAAGAGAAAGGAATAGCCAGAAATATCAACATAGAAAGCTTGTAAATCCATCTTCTGCCTATAACTGATTGGAATACCTAAAATGGGGCCACAACGTGACCAGTGAAGGAGGTTTCCTGCAAAGCCTCTGCATTACATAAGACCATAGATGGAATCCTGAACTCCATACAGTATCTTCTGAGGTGGGAAATTTCCACTTGAAAGGACAAGCAGACCATCCTGGAGAGGATAGAAGAACAGAAGATACTTATTGAAAGAAAGACAGACAGGAAAAATACAAAACAATAAAAATAGTCCAATTTATTACTACAAGAACAAGTAAGTTGCTCACCCAGGAGACACTGAAGTGTTCAGAAACCTACTTTTCTTGAGTACCTCATGCACCTCTGACAGCCAAACTGTCTGAGTTAGAACACAGTGTATTTAAAAGTGGGAACTTTCCTGAGCATACCCATTAATGGTTGCCTGTTTGTGATGTCATACCCTGAGACTCTCAGCGATAGCCTGTAAACTTTCCTATCTGCAATAATCCCCTCTCTACTTCCATAGGCTCAGCATGCTTGTGTGTCTCATCACTGCTATCAGACATAGTTGGAGGAGATTCCATTGTTCTGTAAGCCCTAAAAAATGTCACTTCATAGAGGTCGAACTTTAGAAATTTATCATGGCATCTATGATTTCCCTCAACCCAGTGGTGTATGTTGCTTTGTCTTGTTTTTATTCCTGTTTAAGACTTAATTACACATGAGACCATAGGGTCTCTTTTCAATCCCCAGTGCCTTCAGTTCTAAAGTTGATTTTTGTATTTTAAATAATGAACCTCAACTTAAATGATACACTTCAAGTTACAAAAACCATCTTGCGATTTATTTTTCCATCACCTTTTGCCACTCCAATGCAGTATTAGCACTTCCTCTCTCTTAAATCACCCACTCAAATTTCCCTCCTTGTACTTTTGCTGAAAGAAACAGCTTTATTTTTACTTGGTTAAGACTGCTAATATTTCCAGTCTCTTCTGAAACTGTAACCAGTGTCTTCCATTCGCAACAATACGAAAACAAAATGATGTGATTTCACGATATTATGTCAGACTTAATTTTAGGAGTGAGAATCACACATTTTATAAAGTAACTTCTTAGATCGTTGCATATTCTTTTAAGAAGTAAACAGTGATCCAAGACCTCTTTCTACAGTACCTGTAACCTTCAGCTTCTCAGCTCCAATGGTGATTTCATCTTCATCTGCAGAAAACAGTACCCTGCCATCTTCACTCCCTCTCACTTCAAACCTCTTACACTGAGCTTCCACAGCATCAGCTCCTATGGCCAGAGAAAAGATGTGAGTGAAATGGGTACACAGGAAACCTTTAAATACATACTCTTTTAGAAGAAGAGAAACACATATATTGTTCATTTATCTCTGCAGTTTTTTTGTATCTGAATTAGCATATATTGAAATTAAGGTACTCTCCTCAAGAGGTTCTCTGATTTACTAGAGGATTGTTGAACCTGGGTTGATGAGCACATATCTGACCTCTAAATATCTGCCTTTGTTTTAATAAGGACTGTGGTTTTCAACCATTAACAACTGTTTGTTTTGTTCTCTTTTGTGTTCCACAGACTTGGCAGTATGCCTGATACCTGTTAATGTTTGATAAATATTTCTCATGTTTCTCTTTGAAATGCAAATAAGGTACCCATGCATGTGACATCATAGGGCATTTGCAAAGCACAATTCAGTTGCAAACCTCTCCTTACTCTCAGTTATTCTAATATTAATATGCTTTAACCTTTAGTATCTCTGAAATAGATTCCATATTACAGTCATTCTTATAAATAAACTTGTTTTATTTGCTGCTGATGTTGTTGTTACTGTTGTGTGCCATCTAGTTGGTTCCAATGCATAGTAGCCCTGTATAGGATTTCGGAGGGCACATATGTTTATTTAAACTGTCTACATTGAGGTTAACAGTCCTGTGCTTATCCTATAGTGTTACCTAATATATCTCACAGTCAATGCATTTCTTAATTTATTAAAGTATTGTCTTTAATTCTCAATAGCCTCATATGTATAGAAAATTTGAACAATGAATAAGGAAGACCACAGAATAACTGATGCACCTGAATTATTGTGTTAGAAAAGAGAACAAATAAATGTGTACTGGGTGAAGTACAGCCAGAATGCTCCTTAGAATACTCAATGGCAAGACTTCATCTCTCTTACTTCAGGTATGCTTTAAGGGAGGACCATTTCCTGGAAAATTACATCATGTTTGGTAAAATGGAGGGTCATCAAAAAAGAGGAAGTCCCCAGCACAGTGGCAGCAAGAATGGTTTCAAGTATAACAATTGTGAGGATGGCACAGAATCGTGAAGTTTTCTGTTCTGTTTTACGTACTGTTGCTATGAGTCATAACCGACTCAACGTCACCTAACAATAACTGCAAACACAAGATAACTAAGATATTTTGGTACCAAGAGTGGGGTGTTGCTAATACAGATAGCTAAAATTAAAAAAGTGGTTTTGGAATTAGGAAATGGATAAAGGCTAGAAGAGTTTTCAGGTGCCTGAAAGTCAATGTGTATATTGAGTTGAAGAGACTATTAGACATTAAAGGCAGTTCTGATAAGGGCTCAGAAGGTAGTGAGGTGAAATACAAACAACATTTGTAGCATCTAAGAGAATACATGTGATATCAGCAACATATTATTGATAGAAATTTGGACATCAAATGTACCTCTGGTGACATTTTCAAAGGAAGTGAATGACATAGAGGAAGAACAATACTTTTTGCTTCTCTAGATAACCTGGTCAAAACATACAGTACTGAAAGAGTGGGGCTCTACAGAAACAAAATCACAAGGATGAGTTTTCTAAATTGGAACTCAAGTCTGAGTAATTTTAAAGGCACTGATATAGGGTGGAGACATGTGTCACTTCTGCTTTATAGGAAACGGCCATGGGCTGATTGTGAGTTTGAATCTCTTTCTCCTTTGTGAAGTCAGACATAGTTCCCACATGGTTTTTGTAGTTGGAGTGAGGAAAAGAATCATTGCAGTGGCTTCAGACCAAGGGAAACATAAAATTTTATCAGAGAAAGAACTAAGGGACATGGAAATGAAATTTTTGATTTTTAAATGGTTAGTTTGAATTTTGTTACCTATACTCGCTGAAAGAAATGTCAGGAATACAAAGTTTTAGCAGAGAGCAGAGTGTCAGCTTTTAGAGTTGCATAAAGTAAATGTCATCAAGGACGTCATTCTTGGATCCACCATCAACACTCATGGAAGCAGCAGCCAAGAAATCAAATGACATATTGCATTAGGCAAATCTGCTGCTCAGGAACTTTTTTTAAAGTGTTGAAGAGCATAGATGTCAGCTTGAGGACGAAGGTGCTCATGACCCAAACCATGATCACCTCATATGAATGCTGGTGTGGCGCTGTGGGTTAATGCACCGGACTGTAAAGCCGTTTGAACTGCAAGGTAGGTGGTTCTAGCTCACCAGCTGCTCATTGGAAACCTTATACAGGTTCGCTATGGGTCGGAACTGACGCGATGGCACTTAACAACAACAACATATGCACGTGAAAGATGGACAGTAAATAAAGAAGACCATAGAAGAATTGATGCTTTTAAGTTATAGTGTTGGAGGAGAATATAAAAGTACCATGGACTGCCAAAAAAAACCCAACCAGATCTGTCTTGGAAGAAGTGCAATTAGAGTGCTTCTTAGAGGCCAGGATGGCCAAACTTCCTCTCTCATACTTTGGACGTATTGTCACGAGGGACCAGTCACTGGAGAAGGATATCATGTTTGATAAAATGGAGGGTCAGAGAAAAAGAAGAAGACCCCCAGCAAGGTGGATTGGCAAAGTCGCAGCGTCAGTGGGTTCAAGCATGGCAGCAATTGTGAGGTTGGTCCAGGATCGGGCAGTGTTTCATTCTGGTGTGCATAGGGTTGCTGTGAGTTGGTACAGACTCAATAGCACCAAACAACAACAACAACAAAGCACATTCCTGGTGTGGTGCTGTGGGTTAATGCACTGGACTACAGAGTTGGTTTGAACCACAAAGTCAGCAGTTCAAGCTTATCAGTTTTACTATGAGCCACTATGAGTCAGAACCTACTTGAAGGCACTTAATAACAACAAAGCAGATAAGCTGGTTGAACTAGATGGCTAATAAGGGGCAAGTGTCTATTGTATCTACCCTGTCAGAAGCCCAAAACCACATGTATATGAGTGGGGTTGTTGTTGTTGTTGTTAAGTGCCATCAAGTCGGTTCCGACCCATAGCGACCCTGTACAAGGTTTCCGAGGGTGTAAATCTTTACGGGAGTAGAAAGCCTCATGGGGTTAGTCTAAAGGAAAAGGAAAGATTGAACATGAGTGTTTTTAAAAGGTATTTGTTTGCCTTTTGGATACTGATTTCTTCTGCCTTATTGTAAGAAAGACATACATGTGTGATACAAATGAATACTAGAAATTATGAATACAGAGAGTTTCTAAGCCTACCTTCAGCCTGTACTTGATTGGATTTGCGAAACACTGAGTTAGAATTTGTCCAGCAAGAAATAGGTTTTTTGCTTTTAAAGTCTTTTTAGAGTATGGGGTCTTAAATTGAATCCTGAGCCCCACCCAGAATATCCAGAATTGGGAAATTTGCATTTGAAAAGACATACAGATAAACCCAAAACTGCTGGGAGTACAACACATTTATGATTGAAATTAAACTGACTATTTTAAAATAAAACAATCTTGTTTCAAGCAAGCTGTTTGCTTAAAAGCTATCAAGGCCAGAAAAGTCTGTGCCAATCACAGAAAATCCCATTCTAGGACTTAAAATTAAAGGGAACCAGTGATGTATATGCTTGCTGGTAACCACCTGGGTCTATGTGTGAATAGAATTGGGGAAAATGCAGCAATGAAGTCACAGGTTGATTTTAGACATGCTCTATTGGCACCTGTTGACCTTAAGATGAGAGAAAGAGGAAGTCCTGACTGGTGTGAAGTTTAGGTTGTTGTGCAAACTCCTGAGCTCACACACCCTAACCTAGGGCTGAGAGTGAAGTGCAAGAAGGTGTGTATGAACTCACATATTTGCACTTGGTGTGGTGCTGGGGGTTAATTTGTTGAACTGCAAGGTCAGTGGTACAAGACCACCAATCGTTCCTAGGAAACCCTATACAGGGTCACTATGAGTCGGAATCAACTTGACAGCACTTAACAACAACAACCACCCATTTGACATAGATTGGATGGCTAGGGCTGAGCTGATCAGAACCCAACCAGATGAAGAGAAAGATGTTTGATACAATTTGATTGCTACAATTTGATGACCTGGACTTTTGCTTATAGATGCAGATTCTCAAAACACCAACCAGAATGGAAGATTCTTCTGATCAAGGAACATGCTTGTCTTCTCAGCGTATTGGGTTGATTATTGTTGTTAAGTGCTGTTATGTAGATTCTGATTCATAGCAACCCTGTATAGGGTTTCTGAGAAACAGCTGGTGAGTTCAAACTGCTAATTTTGTGGTTCAAACTGACATTGAGGTCTAGTGTTTATTCTACAGCGCCACATCAGAACTGGATTGATAGGTATGGGCAATTTAGACATTGGATATCAAAAATGGGGGATTACAAAGGCATGAAATGCCTATCTTACAGTCTTTCCTGGGTGTGCTTAATTTCAGAATGAAAGGGGTATTGTAGAATCTCCACTGACTAATTTTCCTCTTTTCTAGATGAGTCTGGTAGAAGAGGATGGCGATAATACTGATAGCATTTTATTAACCAAATTGTATTTGTTAGTAGGATTAATTCTGATTGGCAAAATTAATTGTAGAAGATGTGTAAAAGTGGGGATAAGCTAATCTTTCATTTTAGGAACCGGTGATCCCAGGACCATCAAGACAGAAGAGCATGAGTGGAGTGTGGGATCCCTGCCTGGGAAAGCAGACACAAGAGAGATGACAGCAGAAGTGGTGCCCTGGAAAGACTGAGCAACTGTGAACTCTAGGTCTGTGGACTGAGTCAAGTTGTTTGCCTTTGGGCAGGTGGCTGGCTTGCAGAATGTGCCCTTAGAACATTAAAATGAATATATATATTTTGTTTTATTTTGTATGTATGCATCAGATATTTGTTTTTGTTCATTTGTGACATATAGGATATAAATGGGGCCAGTCTATTATTGATTGTTCTAGTTATGTCATGTTAGGCTTAAGTATGACTACAGTTTTCTTTAATTAGAGATCATGCATATAGTTTGTAGGTATCAAGTTGACAAGGGTGGATTGTAATAGTTAGGGTTCTGTGC